TCCATGTGCTCCTTGCTGTGAAGGCCAATTATAGACTTGTGTATTGGCCATTTTTTGTAAAGCGCATGTGCGCCCCCTACCCGGAGCTGCAGTATCACATATATATACGTGATTTTGCGCACCCGTGCCACCCTGTAGCAGTATTTCGGCTATAGGGCGGCATGGAAGCAGTTAAGTAATGCTTGCCTCTTCTATGGTGTTGTTCCTCACAGGCCCACCATTATAGTTGTTCTTCACCAGTCCTCTTCCAAGATGAATGATGTCCAGCTTTATTCAACCCACATACTATGAACCTAGGTTGTCAGTAAGTTGGCCTGCTGCCGCCCAGTTTTACACTGGTGTATCTTCTGCAGTATCTTAATTCTTGTAGTAAAGCCCCAGCCTGTGTTCCTTGCCTCTAGTAAATTCGAACCTTGCCTTGCTTGCTGTTTAAAATTGCCCCTTTCCTGAGCAATTTTACAGTGTTGTGTCCATGTGTTTTTTCTTTATTTTTATAGTAAAATGCCTGCATGTAGTAGTCTCTAATACATTTTGACCTATTATCCCTGGTAAAAAATAAATATCCTGCTATTGGTTAATTTTGCACTGCTGTATCCTCCACAGTATCTAAATTCTAAAAGTAAAGACCCAGACTTTGTTCTTCGTCCAGGGGCGGACTGACCATTTGGAAACTCGGGCACTGCCTGAGTAGGGCAGTAGGGGGCCCCATGAGATGCCCCCTGTTACCTTTTTCATAGGCTTTTTTGAGTTTGGGCAAGGACACAGGGGCCCCATGATCCCCTATTGCCCAGGGGCCCCATGAGTTGTCAGTCCGCAACTGTCTTTATCTCTAGTAAATGTGGGCCTAGCTCTTTAAAACTTTCCTGACCCTGACCAATTTTAAAGTTTTGTGTCCATCTGCTGTCTCTTAATTTTTATAGTGAAACACCTGCCTGTACTCGTTTTTCCCTTGTACATTTTGACCTATTACCATTTTACAGTATCTCATCTAATAGTAAAGAACCAGTAGATGCTCTTTTTCTCTAGTAAATGTTGGCCTAGTCTTGCTATTTGAAATTAACACTTTTTACACTTTTACACTGTTAGAGCCTTTTAATTCTTTTAATAAAACATCTTCCTGCACTCTTTCTCTAGTATATGTCTCCCAATTTCAATAAAAATATCATTCTTATGGCCATATTTACACTGCTGTATCACCGGCAGTCTCCTAATTCTTTAACAGGAGCTTGATATAAATTATCCAAGGCAAGCCACAGCAAACTATTAGCCAGTGTATTATGGGTACTTATTTGGCACCAACAATTTATGCAGTGCTTTCATGAGTCCCTGCACTCAAGGAGCTTACAATCTAAGGTCTGTAACTCACATACTAGGACCAATCAACTTACTAGCATGCCTCAATTGTGGGGGGAAACCTACACAGGCATAACATGAAAACTCTAGGAAGGGTGTTCCATCATTGGGACTTGAACCAATAAGCCTAGTGCTATAAGGCAGACGTTCTAACCACTTGGCCACCTACACAGGCATAACATGAAAACTCTAGGAAGGGTGTTCCATCATTGGGACTTGAACCAATAAGCCTAGTGCTATAAGGCAGACGTTCTAACCACTTGGCCATAGTTCTTCCCATTTCTGGTTGATTGAGTCTATTATTATTTCATGAAAAAACATGTACCTTAAACACCAGGATTTACTTGCAGGTGGCATCTCAGTCCAGGAAGTAGATGGTGATCCTGGACAATGCCTTAACTGAGATGGTTCCATCTTTCTGGAGAAAAAAGAAAATAGGCATTGTCAGGGCAAGTACAGTAAGAGGTAATCGATAGCTGGAAGTGTTATACTTATTACTTAGCACGCATGCACTTGAAAAATATATATTAAAGCAGAGTTACGGTTGTTTTTTTTGTTTCTTTTTAAAGCACCCCCGTGATATTGGCATCTTATGCCATGCAATTTGGCATAAACTATACCTGTAATCATTTGTGTTCCTATTAAAAAAAATCACTTATTGGACCCTCTGATTCTGCAAGGTTTCATCTTCCATGTGGGCATCTGAAGTTCGCTCAGACACTACCCAGCATGCACCTCTCGATCTCCCACCTGCAAAGTGTGAAGAAGCTGCTGCTCCTTCCTTGTACTGAAGGTTGCCATAGCAATGGGGGTGTTGGCAGAAGTTCCCACTTCATTGCTATGACAACCGTCAATCAATGCAGCAACCCTGGAATGGAAGTAAGCCAGCCTTCCAAGCTACCCATTGATTCCTGGGATTGATGGCACATATATCCCAGGAAACAACGGGTGGGCGGATATGACGTACCTCGCCGAGGTGAAGTACGTAGGAAGTAAAGCACTTCAGCCCAAATAAAAGTATGAAAACATTGAAAAAAAAGCACCAAACATTGTTGGGGCAGCAGGAAAATAGAGATAGGAACAAACATTAAAAATGAAGTGGAACACCACTTTAAAATGTATCTGCTTGGTCCACTTAAAGAGGCCTCCATCCCCTTGGGAGAAGGCTGGGAGACTAGGAAGAAAGTGGGTCGATCTGGGAAAGGAAGAGAAAGAGATCTGCTATTCTCCTGCTCTCCCCTTTCTGGCGGGGAGGGGGGGCAGGGTAATCTGGGGTTTCTCATCCTAACCCCAAGAGAGAGAAGACAGGACCATGGAAGCTGGGTTATCCCCCTGTACCCCCCATCCTTTGCCAGAAAGAACATGGGGCCCATCTAACTGCAAGGGCACAAGCAGCCACCGGCAGGGCCTGGGACCAACAGTAAGTTTGCTGTTGGAATTGTGTTGGGGTCTGTGACCCACTGAAGCCATGTTATTAACTGAGGCTTTCAAACAAAGAACGTTAACCACACCCAGCCTTGCGGTGCCTTTATTCGGTCAGAATGCTGCTCTGAAAAAGTGAGGGAGAACGCTACAGATGTCCTCTGGCTGTCGGGTCTAAGAAAGGTGAGGCCAGAGTCTGGAAACCCTGGGAGTAAGGGATCAAAGCTACACAGCCAGAAAGGTGGACAGGGGTTCGGTCTCTGCCCACTACCCACACATTGGGAAGAGTCGTGGACAAAGGTATCCTATTGCCCAGAAGGTTAATTTACGTTGGGGGTCAGCTCAGCTGTTCACTATGGCCACGCACGAGGCAGCCTGCCACCCTCCAACTGGTCAATATGAGAAGCTTATTCATTTCTCTCAATGCAGGTGAGGGTAATGTCATACATTTATATTATTATTATACAGTATTTATATAGCGCCAAAAAGTTTGCTCAGCGCTGTACATTATAGTGGGGGACAGTACATGAGACAGCACAGTAACAATACAATACATGAGGGGTTCGAGGGCCCTGCTCTTTCGAGCTTACAATCTAGGAGGGAGGGGATAGTGGTACAGGAGGAAGTGGCTGTGAGGGATGGAGTGGTAGGAGGAGTGGAGGAGATCGGCTGTTAGGTGAGGGTGGGGTAGGCTTCCCTGAAGAGATGGGTTTTCAGGGTGCGCCTGAAGGTGAGGAGGGTAGGTGACAGTCTGATGGATTGGGGTAGAGAGTTCCAGAGGATGGGGGAAGTCCTGGAGAAGTCCTGCAGTTTGGCATGGGAGAAGGAGACCAGGGAGCTAGAAAGTAGGAGTTCTTGTGAGGAGCAAAGAGTACGGGTTGGGTGGTATTTGGGTATCAGGTCAATGAGGTAGTTTGGGGCACCGTTATGAATGGCTTTGTATGTCAATGTTAGTAGTTTGAATTTAATGTGTTGGGCAATCGGAAGCCAGTGGAGGGAATGACAGAGGGGGGTGGCAGAAGTGGAGCGGTTGCTAAGGTGGATGAGTCTGGCCACTGAGTTCAGGATAGACTGGAGCAGGGATAGTGTGTGTTTGGGGTAGGCCGGTGAGAAGGGAGTTGCAGTAGTCCAGGCGTGACATACTAAGGGAGTGAACGAGTTGTTTAGTAGTGTCTGGGGTTAGGAACGTACGTATCTTGGAGATGTTGCGGAGGTGGAGCCTGCATGAATTTGCCAGCGATTGGAGGTTGGAAGGACAGGTTTGAGTCTAGGGTGACACCTAGGACTTTGGCTTGCTGGGTGGGAGTGATGGTGGCATATTAGATTTATATTATAAAGAATTAATAAATAACTACAAGATTATAGTGTCTCTTTGAGTCATGCTTAGCTAGACAATATGCATCATTGAAAAACAAACAGCTTGGACCAAAGACTAACATTTGGGAGGAAATGAAAACATCCTTAATTAGTCTTTGTCCACATATACTCAAGAACGTGAACTCCATAAAAGCCGTAATGCAACAGATGGCATATTTGTATGTGAAAAACATTAAACAATCTTGAACATATGTCTGCTTTTTCTTTGGAGAGCTCTCCACTTCTTTCCACATTGTTTTACTGAAAAGTGAGAATTAAAGTACAATTTTTTGTTCCGCCGTTCCAAACTTTTCAAATGAGCAGGCTTATTTACCAAAGTGAAAAGTCAATATTGCTGTGCAGAATTGATGGCAAAGCTCATTACGTGGTTACTGCCTTGTCACCCTCCAGGTTTAACATTCTACGTAATTTGTCTCTGTAATAATTACTTTTCTCCCTGGGATTTTTGTTATGCTTTTTAAAGGAGAAAATCTTTTTTTTTAATGTTCTTTTTTTTTTTTTAATTTTGGACGAACAGCAATAAAGGAAAAGCAGAAACAGCGGGTTAAGTTCCCAGGAAAATCAGACTTAAAGTGGCATTTAAAGCAATACTGTTGTCACTCAACTTCCCACAGTTCCCTTTCATAGGAAAGGTAAAGGTATAACATGTATTTCTTTAGTGGTTCATTATTGTCAAGATAATGTATTGGAAAGGACCCCACACTGCTTTTCCATTGGCTCTTAAGCCGGCAATGGACAATAGTATTTTCTTTCCCCCAACCATGGGTTTCAGGGAAAAAAATCACTTGATTCCCTACCAAAACAGTCAGTGTTGATGGGGGAATCCTTCCCATGGAGCAATTGTGTTCTCCCAGCAGGGTGGTGGTGGGAGCCATCCCTGCTGGAAGAACACATCGATCACTGCTAGCGGCTATAGCCACTGGCAATAAACACTTATACAAATCTGATGGTTGCAACCAGGGGCAGACTGACCATTTGGAAACTCGGGCACTGCCCAAGGGCCCAGGGTCAGTAGGGGGCCCCATGAGATGCCCCTGGTACCTTTTTCATAGGCTTTTTTGAGTTTGGGCAAGGACACAGGGGCCCCATGATCCCCTATTGCCCGGGGGCCACATGAGTTGTCAGTCCGCCCCTGGTTGCAACCAAGTCAAGTGTTGTTTGAAGCTGTTTACTGTTGACTGGCTCACTACCTCTTCTGTTGGATATTTATTCCAAGTTTCAACTACTCTTTAAGTAAAATAGTAGTTTCTGAGATTAGTTTTGAACTTTCCTTCAGTTAGTTGAAGGTCATGTCCCCGTGTTCTTGATTTTGGTTTTGTGTTGAAAATAGTACCCTCCTGAACCTTATTCACCCCCAGGGGCGGACTAACCATTTGAGCACTTGGGCACTGCCCAGGGCCTGGGGTCAGTAGGGGGCCCCATGAAATGCCCCTGATACCTTGTATAGGCTTTTTTGGGTGTGCTTTGAGTGTGGGCAAGGACACAGGGGCCCCATGATCCCCTATTGCCCGGGGGCCCCATGAGTTGTTAGTCCGTTCCTGGTTGCAACCAAGTCTAACAACAATCAAATTGGGTACAATCAGCCTGCCCATAGATGGTTTGAATCTTGGCCAGTCCCTGTTGAACGATGAACACCTGACCATCCCACTACTTATAGAGGTTCAGCACATTGGAGCTCTTCAACCTTATTGTGCCTCACATTTTGCAGCTCAGTTTGTTCCATAAAATATATTTAATAGTTTAACTAGCTATTCAGTTTATTTCATTCACAAGAATCATGCCATTCCTAAGAAACATTACAGAAGTTTAAGGTTCTTATCAGGGGCGGACTGACCATTTGGAGGGCCCGGGGTCAGTAGGGGGCCCCATGAGATGCCCCTGGTACCTTTTTCATAGGCTTTTTTGAGTTTGGGTAAGGACACAGGGGCCCCATGATCCCTTATTGCCCGGGGGCCCCATGAGTTGTCAGTCCGCCCCTGGTTCTTATGTATCGCACTGCATTGCTGTGGTTCTACCTGCTGAGCACTGGAGAATGGAACCACAGTCTGCAGCTGTTCGCGTCTGTAAATATTATTAAATACTACAGAGTCTTCAGCACTTCAATAGAGGGAAGATCAAGGAGGTAGAGGGATGAAAGGTACCCACTCACTGGTGTCAGTAAGGTGAATGGTGCACCATCATCAGTGGCAGTAGGAAGAATAATGCCCCATCAATAGTGTCGGTGGAAGGTGCTCCATTGTTGGTGTCAACATAAGGATGGGAGGAATAGTGAGAGGAATAATGACCTATCATTGGTGTCAGTGGGAGGGTAAGTGTTCCACTCTCGGTGTCAGTAGGAAGAATAGTGCCTCATCACTGGTGTCACTAATAGGGTAAGCTCCCCATTGTCTGTGGAAATGGGAAGATTAGTGCCCCATCAATGGTGTCAGTGGAAGGAATAGTGACCCATCATTGGTGTCAGAGGTAAGTGCTCCTCTGTTGGTTTCAGAAAGAAGAATAGTGATTCATTACTGGTCTCAGTAAAAGGGTAAGTGCACCACTGTTGGTGTCAGAAGGAAGAATAGTAATCACTCTTTACGTCTGGAGGAAAAGAGATTTAATCTCCAAATATGGAAAGGCTTCTTCACAGTAAGAGGTGTGAAAATGTGGAATAAACTCCCTCAAGAGTTGGTTCTGCCCAGCTCAGTGGATTTCTTTAAAAAAAGGCCTGGGTTCTATCCTAGATACAACTGAATATAACATTTATAAGTAAAGTTGATCCAGGGAATATCTGATTGCCTCTCGGGGGATCAGGAAGGGATTTTTTCCCCTGCAGGAGCAAATTGGATCATGCTTTGCTGGGTTTTTTTGCCTTCCTCTGGATCAACTGTGGGTATTGGATTATAACTTTTTTTTTTAATGGTTGAACTGGATGGACTTTTGTCTTTTTACAGCCAGACTAACTATGTAATGTACGGCTCATCTCTAAGCTTGGATCAACTGTGGGTATAGGATTACAACTTTTTTTATTATTAATTTTTATGGTTGAACTAGATGGACTTTTGTCTTTTTTCAGCCAGGCTAAGTATCTAACTATTTAATAGTGACTAATCGCTGGTGTCAGTAAAAGGGTAAGCACTCTGCTGTTGGTGTCAGAGAAGAATAGTGACTCATCACTGGTGTCAGTAAAATGGTAAATGTCCCACTATTGGTTTAGGTGGGAAGAATAGTGACCCATCATTGATGTTAGTGGTATTAAAGTGCCTCACGATTGGTGTCATTGGGAAGAATAGTACTCCATCTTTGGTTATGGGGTGAAGAATAATGCCCAATTGTTGGTGTCAGTGGAAGGAACAATTTCCCATCATATGTCTGATGGTTTGGAAAAGCACTAGACACTGGTGTCAGGATTACCTTTCAATAGTCTCCATGTTCTGCACTGTTCTGCTACTGGCCAGATGACATCATGACCTGAATTATGCAGGCATCTGCCAAACAGTGCCTAAGATATGTTGTGTGCTGGAATGCAGTTGGTGGCCACTAGTTTGAGCCGGCTTACTGAAACATTCCAGTGCGCAGTGACTACTCATCATACAGTACATACCCCCCCCCCATTGTAGTGGCTGTGTAGACGTGCAGCTCTGCCTCTGTCCTGATTCCAGCAGCACACTTTTTAGATACTTAGGGGTCTAGTTTTTAAAGTGATATTAAAGCTTTGGGGGTTTTTTTCTACTAACATGTCATGCTTACCTGCTCTGTGTAATGGTTTTGCACGCACATGGCAGCCCCAATCCTCTTCTTCTCGGGTCTCCCGCCAGCGCTCCTGGCTCCTACCCCTTGACCAGTGTCTCCAATAGCAAGCTGCATGGTATGGGGCCACTGGTGTGTGCTCGCTCCCGCGCCCCGCTCTTTGTGTCCATAAGACACATAGAGCCATTCTCTCCTCATTGGCTCACTGGCTGTAATTGACAGCAGTGCGGGGCAATGATAACAATTATCTAAACCAGAGTGCAGCGCTAGAAAGAGTAAATGCAAATATAGCGAATAAATTATGAATAAATAAGGTGCAAAGAGTTCAAATAGTAATGTACTCCAGACTAAAGTGACTCTTGTGCTCTGATAATTAGGGGGTCCAGTATCCGTGTGGTAGTGGTGAAGGTAATGCGCACTCACCGGATGCGCATTAATATGCGCTTTGTATGAATTATTCCAGATGTCATCCGGTGTTAGGTGGGGCAATGATAACAATTATCTAAACCAGAATGCAGCGCTAGAAAGAGTAAATGCAAATACAGCGTATAAATTATGAATAAACAAGGTGCAAAGACTTCAAATAGTAATGTACTCCAGACTAAAGTGACTCTTGTGCTCTGAAAATTAGGGGGTCCGGTATCCGTGTGGTAGTGGTGAAGGTAATGCGCACTCACCGGACGCGCATTAATATGCGCTTTGTATGAATTATTCCAGATGTCATCCGGAGTTGGGTGGTCCTCCTTCTAATATAAGGTGGTGTGGCACCGGTGTAGGTAATCATTTTCCCTTGAATGGGTTCCCCTGTGCTCCTGGTGGATGGTATCCCTCCGGATGGGCAGACCTTCTCTGTACTGCAATGATCTGTCCAGGGAGCAGGTCTGTGGACTAAAGCACTCCCCCAGGGGTAATAGAGAGACTCCCATAGTGTAGTATGTATAAAATTCTTTATTGTGATGCATCAAGTTAAGATATAACCAGTGAATCCAGACAGAGAGCAGTGATGACTAACCGTCAGAAAAAGTAAGATGGCCGCCGGAGCTCCACGTTGCTCCAGCGGCGTGACGTCACGGTGTGGTGTGGCTCCTCCTGACCTCATCCGCAGCTCCGGGGTCCCGAGCACTGAAGTCCGGACGAATCAGCACATATCCGGCGGCGCGCAGCCCAGAGAAGCCGAGACACAGCAAGCCGCTCAGTCACTCCCGACTCTCACTGTCCCAGAGCTCGGAGCCGCGCATAGCTGAGCCTTCCCTCAACATTGTGTAGTTTAAAGAAGAGAGATGGTCAAGGAAGATTATGGCGCTTGAGAGGCACTGGGATTAATTTACTAAAGGAAACTGGACTGTTCACTTTGCAAGGAAAGTTGTGCTTTGTATGGTAGCTTAGTGAATCAAGTGATCCTTACTGACGTCCATCATCCAATCACATACAAGCAAATCATGTGCTGCGTGTTTTTTTGTTTTTTGTTTTCCTTACACGTAATTGGAAATGTTTTTTCAAAGTGAAATTTCACCACATTCACTAAGCCTTGGGGAAAATTCCCTTGCAAAGTGAACAGTCGATTTGCCTTTAGTAATTAACCACTTCAAGTCCGGACACTTTCACCCCATTCCTGGCCAGGCCAATTTTCAGCTTTCAGCGCTATCACACTTTGAATGAAAATTGCACGGTCATACAACACTGTACCCATATGAATGTTTTAGCATTTTTTTGAGACAGATAAAGCTTTATTTTGGTGGTATTTATTCTCCCCTGGGATTTTTATTTTTTCTGCTATATAAATGAAAAAGTCCCAAAAATTTTTAAAAAAGTGTTTTTCTTATAAAATTTTGCAAATAAATAATACTTCATCATAAATCGTGGCCAATATTTATTCAGTTATCTTTTTAGTAAAACAAAAAACAACCCAAATTAGTTTATAACCAAAAATTCTAAGTTTTAAAAAAATGGTTACTTTTTTTTTTTTATATTAATATTTGTTTTTTTTTTTTTTTGTTTTTTTTTTACATACTGTCACCCTAGCAGTACAGTGTCACCATAGTAACACTGTACTACTTGTGGGGGGTGATGAAGATTTTTTTTTTTTTACACTGATTGCTTTCACACCCATAAAGGCTGTAAAAGCAATAATATCTCCTCTCTGGCTGCATTCTTGCAGCCATTGAGAAATACTGTGTGAGCTGTGATTGGTCACAGCTTGTCACATGGCACAAGGCTGTTGTGAATAGCCCTGTACCATGTGACCTCTGTGATCATTCACAGATTTCACACGTAGTAAGCAATGATGTCAGAAGTGACATCTTGCTTACTACTCTGCATGTGATCACTGATTGACTAATCAGTGATCACATGATCAGGACCTCACACAGAGGTCCCGTACGACGATCAGTGTTCTGGAGGACACGGCGATGTTGTGGCTGTTGTGAATAGCCCTGTACCATGTGACCTCTGTGATCATTCACAGATTTCACACGTAGTAAGCAATGATGTCAGAAGTGACATCTTGCTTACTACTCTGCATGTGATCACTGATTGATCAATCAGTGATCACATTATCAGGACCTCACACAGAGGTCCCGTACGATGATCGGTGTTCTGGAGGACACAGCAATGTTGTGGCTGTTGTGAATAGTCCTGTACCATGTGACCTCTGTGATCATTCACAGATTTCACACGTAGTAAGCAATGATGTCAGAAGTGACATCTTGCTTACTACTCTGCATGTGATCACTGATTGACCAATCAGTGATCACATGATCAGGACCTCACACAGAGGTCCCGTACGACGATCGGTGTTCTGGAGGACACAACGGGCACCGGATCGTGGTGCTGCTCGCTCCCAGGGAGCGCGCACACAGACCAAAATGGTGGGCGCTGTTTATGAACGGCAACCCGCCCCTGGACTGCCACCGCCTGGC